ACAGGAATAACTTAAGAATTATCGGCATTCTGGAACAGGAAGAATTACACAAATCCACACAGGAGATAGTTGAAGAGCTTCTGGAAGAAAATTTTCATAACATCCTGAAAAGTGAAAAGATAAACATTCAAGAAGCTCAATGAACCCCAGGAAGGATAGGCCCTAAAAGACAATCACCAAGATATATAATAATCAAGCTCTCCAAAATCAAAAATAAGGACAGGATCTTGAGAGCATCTAGGGAAAAGACAAGTGTAACATACAAAGGCAAGAAAATCAGATTAAGTTCAGATATCTCAACAGAAACCATGCAGACAAGAAGGCAATGGGGAGACATATATAAAACCCTGAAAGAAAAAAAAAAAACTGCGAACTAAGAATCCTCTACCCAGCAAAGTTGTCAAACAAATATGATAATGTAATCAAAACATTCTAGGATAAACAGAAGCTAAGGGATTTTGCCAAGCTAACCCTGCTATGAAAAACATCCTAACGGAAGTTCTATGGACTGAGAAACAACAAGAACAGACAATAACCAGAGAATGATGTACATGGGAGCATCACCCTGAACTTAACAAATGGAAGAGTCAAGGGCAGAAAAAAATTATAAGAACAGAAGATCTGGAAGGTCAGTCTATGATCAAAACAATTACAATGTGAAGAGAGGTAAACACAGAGGAACAGAGATCCAGGTGGTGGGAAGGCCAGGTAGATTACAGGATAAAACAGACTGTCTTAAATGAAGGGAAGAGTTAATGGACTATAAGGTAACCACAACGGTGGGGTTGGGGTAGGGAACTTAGGGGGAGGTGGAGGGAGATGACGGTAGAGCACAGAGTAACGTTAGACACATCATAGTTCAAGTGTTGGGGAAGGCAATAGAAGAAGGGGGAGGAGGTGGAAGAGCAAGTTAGATAGGGGAACACTGAGAGGTTTGCATAGGCTAAGTGGGACAGAGATAAATAATGATGCATGCTCAATCTTGGAACAACAGGGCTCTGTGAAACAGGGATCTAGGCATAGTTTGAAGAGGGGAAATAATACTAAAATGTTTGACTGTCTTATGAATATTGGTTTCCCTTAAATAGACACCTGAGTGGGATAGAAAGGAATGTTGGGAAACACGGTTACAGAAAACTTGTAAGCCCATCTTCAACCTATAACTGAACGGAATACCTAAAAGGAGTTCTAGAACTTGCCCAGTGAAACAGGCCTCCTGTGGAGCCTTTGCAAATTATAGGACCTTAGGTGGAATCCTGAGTCCCATCCGGAACCTTATGAAGTGGGACATTCCCACTAGAAAGGACAAGCAGACCACCCTGGAACAGCTAGAGTGACAGAGATACATCTTCAAAGAAAGATCATCAGGAGAAAGCCCAAACAAAAATGTCAGCATGACTGACTTCTACAAGAATAAGCAAGCTGGATTACAGACAGGATGGCGGATCGGGTGGAAGGAAGTACAGTGAGGAGCTCCGCCACCAACAATACAGAATACCAGACCAAGCAGGCTCAGGGGATGGTCCCAGAACTCTGAACCACATATAAAGGAATATTTAGAAGGTTGGAAGGCTTACAACTAGGGGAATTTGTAGCAGAGACAAGAAATCCATTGCTTTCTAATTCAAGATGCTTAGCTGCTCCACGAGCCACCATCTT